TACACACACACGTACACAACATAAGGGCGGCTTTTGTGCCAACCTAGATGAGCAGTCAATTGCGGGAACGTCTCGCAAAGTTATTCAAAATGACTCGGCGAAGATAAAGCAGAATAAAAGAACGACCAACCTCCACTCGGCCCATTTGTCGCACTCGTCATCACGACATCGACGAGCGTTTAATCGGAACGCTCCATGAAGCGAGGAATCGGCCGGAAAGACATGTCGCCTACGCCCCTGAAGCCACGATTTAAATTTTGCGACAGGTTTTCTCCGGATCAGAGAGCAACTAGAAATGAGCTTCGGCTCATAGAGGTTCGTTGTAAGGAAAGAAATTCGAGAAAATGTACGGGCTGTTGCGCGCGCCACGGGGGTGGGAGAAAAAAAAAAAGAAAGCTCGCAAAGACGAGAGCGCTCGAACTTGAACGGAGCCTTCTCACGGCAGCACGGATCGCTGCTGGTCGGGTCGTTCCTCGGCAACGGGGCTGGCGGCGGCAGGGCTGGCGGCGGCAGAAGGCGCCGTACGCCATTGCCGTGGCAGCCCTACTCTGGCGAATCCGAGTTGTGTTGCCGCAGGCGATCCTGGAAACAGCAGGTGTTTCCTGGCACCGCGATTACCGAGAGGGACTGGCGCCGCCGTCGTTCATTAGTGAAGCCGATCCGACTGGAGGGGAGAGGAAAACTGAAACAAGGGGATATTGAATTGCGCCAATATATACGGGAAATCCGAGTTCCCCGGGGAATGCCGCTGTCTGCTCTACGCTGCCTGGGGCGGAGAGGGGGCAAAGTCTACGAAGCGAACTATACTCCTGTGCACTTTCTGGTGTACGTGCCATCTGTGTATTTAGAGGGGGTGCTTAAAGCGTATTTCGAAGGGAAAAGAAAAATATAAGGGAAGGAATGATAATAATGCAATTAATGCGAAGAGGTAAGCGAGCTGGACAAGAATAACGTGCTGTATTTGGAGATTTCTGTTTGTCTTTTGTCAGCCTTGTTCCCCTTCTCCGGGGATTAGTATCGTGAAATAGCCCCTAAAAATAAAAAAATAAAAATAAAAATGTTTTTTTTTTTTTTTTTTTTTTTTTTTTACAATCTAGTTGGGACACGCGTGTCAAAAAATAAATTTTAGGCGAAAGAAAAATTTAGGGCAATATTGACGGCGCGAGACGCGATTTAGTCGGTGGTCACCTCCCTTTGCACCTGTTTTCTCTCTCGGCGTTTTGGGCGCGTGGGGGAAAGGTGGGTCGGCTCGGCCATCACGTTGAGGTGGAGACAGTGTATGACCATCTCGTTGAAGTGGAACGACTGTATGATCATTCCGTGACGTCAATTACTTTGCGCGCAGAACTTAAAATAAATCTCGCGTCGTAAATATTTCTCTAATTTTTTTCTTGCGTGAAATTTAATTCTTGACACGCGTGTCCCAACCAAATTAAAAAAAAAAAAAAAAACTTTTTTACGGGTTTTTTAAACGCAAAAAAGCAGGCGTAAAAAATTAGGTTTCGAGACAGGATTTTTTCTCTCGGATAACCTTTGTATTACGATTCCATGCTTCATACTTTTATTTTATTTTATTGTGCTGCGTTTGTAGCGTCAGACATGGAAAAGGCTATATTGACAAAATCGCGTTTAGCAGAAATAAATTCATGGCGACAACGGTTATTTTTAGGGAGCTTATGAGCATTGGCAGACAGTTGCCACAGCTGCGACTTGAAACTCTCTAAGCAAGTCAGCCGCCCCCACCCTTTTTCTTTCTCCTCCTCCTCGTTCTCCCTATTAAACAACTGTTACTACGAACATCTCTGAAGTTGTACGTATCAGAAGCGTAACTGTGTGATCATGTCTACTTCACTCAAACCAAAGTCGGTGATTCGCAAACACAAAGGCACTAAGCTCGAGAAAACCTGCTTTTGCCCCATTTTTGTTGCGTGAGCTGATGGCTTCCATGTTTGGTTGCACGTTCAATAAGCCCTCAGGACTGCACAGCAGAAACACAGCTCGTTGATCTCCAAGTTCCTCAGTGGCAGTAACGGCGAGAATGGTATCTCTCTGGTGCCAACAGGTTCCCGCAAAGATGAGCGCGTTTTCTCTTCAATCAAACGACTAATGCCATAGTTTTGTTTAACCCGAGACTGGGGTATTTCGGAAAAGGGACGAGAAGGAAAGAGGCCACAAGGAGGCGACGTCGCCTCCTTGTGGCCTCTTTTCTTCTCGTCCCTTGAGACGTCGCCTCCTTGTGGCCTCTTTTCTTCTCGTCCCTTTTCCGAAATACTCCAGTCTCGGGTTAAACAAAACTATGGTTAACTTCCACCAGCTCGCCTGCACCCTTACAATTTTTTTGACTAATGCCATTCCACAAAAAAAAAAAAAAAACGCATTTGGGAATTCTTTTTGGTGTTCTTGAACAAGAACAAAAGTGTATGAGCAGAACGATAAAAAGCACCCATTTTCTGAGAATTCCCGCGGAGACGCCCCTGCACGTGTAAAGTCGGTGACGATAGCGCGTGGCCCGCTCTCCTAAAGTCGGAAGTGGAGCGGGGAAGAGGTGGGGGAGACTGATTTTACGAGGGTCGTTCAAGGTTGAACAGGACTAGTACTTATACAGAGGATATAGAAAATTGGACATTCACGGAACCATGTCAGTTTTTCATAGCATTCATTGTGGTCGTCCAGGCACTGCTGCCGTGGTTTTTGAAGCTTCCCGATTCGCTTGGCGTTAAGAACTGGGATGCGTGACTGCATCCGAACAACGCGTCTGCGCGGTTCATTTGCCACAGGCTGTTGCTCTTCGCCAAACTGTCGATGGTATTTAGCCAGCGTCCGAAACTTCGTGCCACGGCTCCCCATGGATGAGAGCCCAGCACGGATGTCTGGTGGTCTAGCGCAGCAGCTATAGAACTATGGATATAGGCGCCGCTGCGCAATTCCACCTAGACGACAAGGCCAGCACATGACGTCATCGCTAGTGGACCCACACACTGCACGCGGTTCTTATTACGTAACTCGTTATGGATTCCCAGCCAGAGTTAAAAAAAAACCAAAAAGCAAGCGGGTGCCGGGCTCCGTGCAGTGTGACCTCGCATGCATCGCGGAAAGTGCGCCGAGGGAGGTGGATCGAAACCCTCCTTCCTCGCGGCAAGGACGACCGTGGACCGCTTTGTTGGGCTTTTTTTCTTCCTGGGGGTTCGTGCACAGCGACGGGGGTGCCGTCATCTGCGGCGGGGGCGCTCGTTAGCGAACCGGTAATTGGACGGGGCTCGCTCGGAAGGACCCAGACCCTCGGCCTCCCTCCCCCGCCACGCACGCGCCTATTGTTTCCGCGCTAACCTTGGTGAAGACGCGAGAGGTCGCGTCTTTTTAGAAAAAAAGATGGTCTCGCTCTCTCCTCTGTGCCGGAGTTGAGGTTATCGCGTTGATGACTGCAACGTCTGCTTTTTTTCTTTTTTTTTTCGTTTTTTTGTCTGGTTTGTTTCCGCCATTGTCTTTCATTTCCACAAAACGGAAACTCAGCAGTTCCGTGAACTATTTCTGCCTACCTGGCGCTCTAAAGCGGCTACTCGAGTTTCGCAGTTCAAATAACTTTGCACTTCCTTTCACTGTGTAACAAATCACAAAAAATAGTTGACTTTATCGTTTAATGAAGAATTCTTTCTTTCTTTCTCTCTCTTTCTGTCACTGCGCTTTCACTTAATTGTTTACTTCAGTAGTCCACAGTTTCTGAGTATCCACTTTAACACATAATGTCTACCTCTCTCCTGCTGATACGTTCCGGAGGAAGTGTACTAGATGAATACATTCGGAAAATCCTTGCGAGCCGTCAGTTTGGTAACTTTAGTGAACCTGCGGTAACGTACTGTCCTACGGATTCTCAGTGAATTATATACAGTTCGGTCTCGGCCGAGGTGGTTGAAATTTGACAAAACTTGATATTTCAACTGGTGGTGGTCACAGTTCGACATTTTTAGAGTTTGTTCGCGAAGCTCGACCCCATTGTTCGATCATGATCTGCGATTTTATCGGCGCTCTTTGGACACAACTCCTACAAGGTAAGTGTTACGTGCACAGGTCTCACATGATAAGTGTCATGTGGTTAAAGTCTCGGGAAACTTTTCAGTGTTTCTCCACGAGAAGACCCGTTTGCATTACCGTCAGCCTGAGTGTGTTCAATCTGTAAATATTTCGCATTGTTTAACCACGGGGTTCGCTGGCAGAACATGTGCAAAAAAACAACCAAAAAACACACAAAAATATCTGCACAGAATGATAGTTACACACAATTAAAACACCAAAAACAATCACGCTAGTTTACAGTACGCTACTGAAATTGCGAATATACACCTTTAACTAATCCATATTTGCGGTTTGCGTACAATAAATACGCTCGTTTCTCAAAAATAGCATGAAATCATTTTCGTGTTTTCGGATTTCTCTACGATTTTCCGATGGTTTTTCGCACGTGTGCTTTGCTTTGAGGCACAAAGCAGGATGTGTCTCGAAGCCTCTTTCCATTTGAAGCGTTTCGTGTTTGAATTCTGTTTAACTTTCGCCTTCGTTTGCTGTGCTAACACCGAACTTTGAGAGCATGGCTTCGCGAGTTTGACAAACCTAAATTCACATTGACACAACTGTACGCCTGATACGATTCTGCACCCCACGACCGTTGTGATCAGATATTAGTAGATCGTTCGGATATCTCCGACACCGATACGATGCATGCTCAAAGGCGGCGGCGGAGTATCGTTGTCGGAATCATCGGAGCGATCTGCTACAACTCCCTATTATAGGCCTTGTCTCGTTTCTAGGTGTCCGGGTTTTCGGCGGTATAGCAAATACCTCCGGGGGAGAGGCAACTGACAGACTTTTGCCGTTCTAATCCTCTTGGTGACAATAAAGTCGCTGGATCCTAAGTGACTAACTATACGCACGTGCCGAGTGTTGTGGCGAGCGCCGGTGTTGCCTGGGGCCCCCACCCGACCCTCGGACGTTTCTTCTGCTCGCAGCGTGATGGACTTCCCGTCCCGCGCGGACCGTTCCATGATCCGGAGCCAGATCGGCAAGGCCCTGCGGGTGTGGTCGGACGCGTCCAAGCTCCGCTTCACCGAGATCTCGCCGCAGAGCGTGAGGTCGGACGCCAAGGGGGCGGCCGACATCGCGGTGACCTTCGCGCGCCTCGACCACGGCGACGGCTACTCGTTCGACGGACCCGGCACCATCCTGGCTCACGCCTTCTTCCCGGGGGACGGCATGGGAGGCGACGCCCACTTCGACGCCGACGAGAACTGGATCACGGGGACGCCGCAATCCAACTCCAACGGTGAGTCGACCCGTAGTGAGCGCTGAATAGACAATCCTCCGAAGTCAGTCTCCCCAGCCCGTCCATAACCAAACTTGACGCAGCAATGACTGCCCTCTCCAGACCAGTAAAATCGAGCGTCTTGGAAAGCATAAAACGGAAATACAATAGTATATATATATATATATTTTAGCAGCTTGGTTTTTGTACGTCGCCTTCGATTCACGGAGTCGAGGGTGCTTGATTTAAGTGATCTTGTTCTCGTATCACCGCCATTAGAGCGCATGCTCTTACGGCGGTGTTGGCATATTTGAGGGCGATATGTATAGCGCAGGGGTGGCCAGGCTGACCCGGCCTAAGAGCCGCAAACAAAACCAAGAGCCGCGGGGGGGGGGGGGGGGGGGGGGGGTGCCAACCTCTAACTTTAATTGATTCGAGTCAAAAGTACGTAAGGTAGCAGTATCAGAAGACTACCAAACCGCCACCTGTCTTTCGATTTAAAACACATTCCATTTCTCTTTTTGGGGAAGTGCTCGTGTGACCGGAACGGAGGCGGGGTGGGGAAGGGGGGGGGGGGGGGAGAAGGGGGGGAGGGGAAGCCGCGAGCCGCGATGAAACGCAGCTTGGCCACCCCTGGTATAGCGCATGCTCAGGACGAGCTCGCTTTAATAGCCTGCTAAGACCGGCGATCTTGATGGTGCAGAACGCACGTTACAAAAGAACTGTGGAAGCTCGCCGTCAGCACGTGCTCAGCAGACGCGCACACAGCTATGGCCGCCAGTGAATTATTCCGATACTGTTGCTGACTCTAACACGTCCTGGGGAAGGCACCCTAGTCCTGGGTAGAGTCACTGTATGGGTTCCCAGAGTAACGCATTCCTTTTCTTTTTTGCGTTTTGCCGACAACATACTCACTCTAGCGGATCATGTTTTGGCTTGGTGAGCATCATTGGACGGTAGCGATCACGTGACACAAGCACCGCTAGACTCTCCCTGTCAGCGCTTCAAGCGGTTGCAATCGCCACCATTTTGGGTTCAGTAAACACCGGCACACACGCACGCTCTGCTGCTCATCGAACGCGCGTTTACGCGCCGATTTTTACACGTGGTTACCGACGTCAAAAGCAAGGAGGTTGTGTACTTAGTGGCACAATGCCTGCTTGTTGCACTTTCGGGTGCAGCAGCAGGCCGGAGGATGGAAAGATACTTTTCCGGATCCCGTTTGGAAGAACGCAACTGCAAGACGGTGGAAGAAGGCTTGGCTGGCCATAGTAAAACGGAAAGATTTCGAGCCCACTGCAACAAGCAAGCTTTGTGAGGTGAGAACCGATTACAGCTGGTTCATTCCGCGTATCGCTTGTTGCCTCGCAGTCGAACAGGCGTCAACTCTGTACGGTTTCGCACGACCGACGCTCTTGCGATTTGGTATGCCCCCGTCGACGCGTAGACCCAAGGTGGCGGCGCCATGGTTTCGGTGTCAGCGCCGCGCCGCGGTTCTAAAACGAACCTTCGGAGTTTCGGTACTCTGGGAACCCATACAGTGACTCTAGTGCTTGGCGTGTAACTGTACTCACAGCATGCCTGGGTAATTTGCCAAAAGATCTAGGCATCGTCACTGGCGCACAGCTGGCGCTGCTAAGCTAAAGTCGATGCGCTGGCGCCATGGGAGTAGAGGAAGTGAGAGGGAAGGGCTGCACCCCTCCTTCTGGCGCACATTGATAGCCTCTTTCGTAACTGTAGACTCACGCTTGTAATAGACCGATCTCACCAGCCAGTTAGACTGCGCCACCGCTACTATATTTAATAATTGGGGTTGTGTGGATATTTATACAGCGTGTAGTTGGTCAGCCATTTCAAAGTTGCGACGAGTCACTCGCTGTAGATGAGCAATTTAGCCAGTGCAGTACAACCGCTAGCCTGCAGTTTTTAACGTGCACCACGCTGTAGTGATACACGACTGCACGCCGGTACGATGCTCATCCAGGTCGAAATGGGGAGGGGTGGGGATTGAGCCCAGGATCCGTGGGTTCTGCAACGCGAGCCTTCGCTCCACGTGCTCCGAGCTGGTGTGCACTAATCCACTCGGCCACCAATCCCCCCCACGCCACCGCTACTCTAATGCATCGAGGGAACTTTACCGCCGAACTCAGAAACCTCACTCAAACTACACTCAAACTGAAGGGCCCCTCCACTTCCTCGAGGAGGGCGCGATGGCCGGCGCTGGCCAATCGCGAGGACGGATCCGCCGTCGCGATTGGCCAGCGCCGGCCCTCGCGCCTTCCTCGAGGAAGTGGAGGGGCTTTTCAGTTTGAGTGTAGTTTGAGTGAGGTTTCTGAATTCGGCGGTTAGTCTTTCTGCACGTGCGGCAACCTCACTGGAGCTCTGCGTGTGTAGAGCACGAGATGGCACTAGTCCTCTTGTGCACTGCCGTCTGCCGCTTGTGAACTAAAAATATGGCGGCGTCACGCATGCTCCGAACGCTTAGTGAGATCGGTCTATTACGCTGAAAGCAGGGCATCTCATCGCACGATGCACGTGCTTGCACGAATGAAGATTTTCTGCAAGGTCTAAAATTTATGGCCATGCCATGTGCCAGTTCAACGCGCAGCGCTCGCGTTTCAGCAGCAAGCATCGGAATCAAAATGGTCCCCCCCCCCCCCTCCCCGATTTTGTATTCACTACGTTTTAATCCCGGCGATCTTTTGGCGTAAGTGACCTTCCAGAAGCTTGACTCTCTTCGCAGAAGCGATACTGCTGTGCCGATGAACGTTGATAAACGCAGAATGTCTGGATGTAACGTAGATTGCATTCACAACGACCTTGGAAACACGCTGATGCGACAGTAACAACAGTCACCGGGACAACCGTTCCATCGCGCCAACCGCCGACAACGTGGAATCGCGGACCCCCATACATCGCAAACCTCACTCATGAGGGCCCTCATTCACCCTCACTCACCCTCATCTTTACAGGTGAGGTGAGGGTGAGTGAGTCTCTGCACCAAGAAAATTTATGAGTGTGAGGGCGAGTAAGGACCATGAGGTCGTGAGGGCCGTGAAGACTGTGAGGGTTGTGAGGACTGTGGGTGCGTGAGGGGGATGATTGCGTGAGGGCCGTGAGGGCGGTGAGTGTTTGAGGGGCGTGAGGGCCATGAGTTCGTGAGGGGTATGATTGTGTGAGGGTGGTGAGTTCGTGAGGGGCGTGAGGGCCATGAGTGCGTGAGGAAGCTGAGTGCGTGAGGGCCATGAGTGTGTGAGGGGTATTAGTGCGTGAAGGCTGTGAGGGCGGTGAGTGCGTGAGGGGCGTGAGGGCCATGAGTGCGTGAGGGGTATGAGTGTGTGAGGGCCGTGAGGGCGATGAGTGCGTGAGGGGCGTGAGGGCCATGAGTGTGTGAGGGGCATGAGTGCGTGAGGAACATAAGTGTGTGAGGGGTATGAGTGCGTAAAGGCTGTGAGGGCGGTGAGTGCGTGAGGGGTATGAGTGTGTGAGGGCGGTGAGTGCGTGAGGGGCGTGAGGGCCATGAGTGCGTGAGGAAGCTGAGTGCGTGAGGGCCATGAGTGTGTGAGGGGTATAAGTGCGTAAAGGCTGTGAGGGCGGTGAGTGCGTGAGGGGTATGAGTGTGCGAGGGCGGTGAGTGCGTGAGGGGCGTGAGGGCCATGAGTGCGTGAGGGGCATGAGTACGTGAGGGCCATGAGTGTGTGAGGGGTACGAGTGCGTGAAGGCTGTGAGGGTGGTGAATTCGTGAGGGGCGTGAGGGCCATGAGCGCGTGAGGGCCGTGACGTTCAGTGAAGGTGAGTGAAAGGCTGAAGGGGAGTGTGACTGTGAGGATGACGGTGAGTGAGGGGCTGAGGGTCGTTGCTGTGAGAGTGAGGATGAGTGAGGGGCTTAGGTAAGTGTGGCTGTGAGGGTGAAGGTGATTGCGGGCGACCTAAAATGCCGACCTTTGATCACGGAAGCCACAAGGGACGAGTAGAAATCGCGAAAGGACCCATCTAGCTCAGTGTTTCCCCGCTGGGTGCCGTGCGCTTTGCTGGAGTTGCAAATATTCTTCTTTTATCGAAGGCTCAGGTCCCAGGGCAGTCATTTGAGTGACTACAAAATGGTTTTTAATCTATTCAAATTAACATTTAAAAAAAAACGCAGACTTAGTTAAACGTAGCTTTGCTAACACATTTCATGTCTTCTTGGGATTCTAGGGAGAGATTTCGAACTTATAACTTAATTAGTTAATTAAGGAGTAAATACTCACACGTGTTTCTCAATATTATCCACCAATATTAACGTTAAAAGGGTGATAGTTTTACAACGCGTACTGAGCATCATAATGAAGCGGACGAGAGCTTTATCAAAATTTTTATTTTAAAGTGTTTTTTTAAAAATAAAAACAATCTGGTACAAATAACACTTTTACAACACAGTTAGAAAAATTAAGAAAAAAAAACAGGTAAGCTTTTGTCCACTTTTTAAAATAAAATGCTGAGCACGCGGTATGAAATTATCACTTTCGTAACATCACTAATATTGAAGAAAGAAAATTATAAGTAGGTGGCAATTTTACTCGTTCATTTTCGAATTACCTAATTAACCTATGACTATTATAGTTTGCCCTGGAATCCCCAAGATCAGAGGAAATATGTTCACAAAGCTTTTGAGTATGTATTTTTAGATTTCTTTTTGAAGAAATTAAAATCCTGCTGTACCCGTCCAAGATGACCGTTGTAAGACCGGAGCCTTAAGTTGTATTTTTTTTTTTTTTTCACTTTACGCAAGTTTACAGGGACTAGTGTGGTCCAAGTACACTCTAAAAAAAGCCTGGGCATCCACTTTCCCGCACAACACTTGGAGACCCAATCACCTCAACTTGCGGAGGCAGCTCAGCGAATGACGATGCCGAAGCATATGTTTAGACCAAAAACGCCGTCTGAGCTGTGACATTAAGCGATGCAAAACGTCACGCTTGCATTGCTTAATGTCACAACTCAAACTACGTTTTTTGATCTAAACATCCGTTTCGCCATCG